TGCGCCGTCTTCTCCTACTATCTCCCGGGCGCCTTCTCGCCGGCCTCGGTACTCCAATTTGACCGTTGCTACAAATTTAAGTATTGCGCCATCACTGACACGTCTTTCGACCAACGGCAGAGGACCAAGCCCCATTTCTCTGTCGGAAGGGGTTGTACCTTCACCATCTGGGACGAACACAACTTCCGTATGCTCCACAAGCAATGGAACTCTATCATATCCAACGCCTAACTCGCTATCTTACTACGATATACCACCGCCTAGTCCTCCACCCAATGCTCCTTTGCCCAAGATTCCTGATGTGGTTCCGAATGAGGGAGAGGACGATCCTTTCGGCGTCAATGGCTCATCGATTATACGTTCTTTGAGTCCCACGGACCGCAGCAGGGATGTACCTTTTTTATCGAGGCTTCGTGCTCGAGCGGGTTCTTATCAGAGTGTCAAGAACAATGATGGAGCGAAAGGAGGGTTAAAAGTTTCTAAGCAGCACATCTCAGAACACCGCATGATCGTCAACGGAGCGGAGTATCGCCGTCAATCAGACAGTTCGAAGGGTACGGAGCCTGATGGCGATGCCGCTGATGGTCAAGAAATGCAAGACGTTCTAGATCGATTCGCGGAGACGCCTAATCATCGAGATGAGCATGAAGCAGAGGGTAGAGCACTAGGCCGAAGTAGATCCTTCGAAGCCCTTTCCGTCGAAGTGGTACCACCTCCTGTGGTGCCACCCCCTGAGGCAAGCTCCAGGACTGACGTCGAGAGCTACGTGGACGAAGACGAATCTTTCTACAGCAAGGAGTTCTCGAATAAGCGACGATCGACGATTTACTATTCAGATCACGAAGATGGTGCGGATCCTAGGCTGAGCAGGTGGAGTGGCAGCGTATACAGCCGCGGCAGTTTCATGGATCCTCAAAAGAGTGAGGAAACGAGGTCACGGTTCGTTAAGAGAGTGGAAGCCATGTTGGACGAAGCAGGTATTGAGCGAGGAAACAAACGAAATTGGAACGCGGTGCCACCTGTTCCTAAATTACCCGAATCATTGGCGCGAAGTAATATCTTGACACGGCAAAACCAGTTGAAGAGTGCTGGGGTGGGCGAAACAACCTGGATTCAGTTTTGAAAGTTTTGAAGCATGCAAGTGGTCACGTTAACTTTTCTTTTTCTTTTTTCTGGTAGCGCTCTCTTGAGAGTGCGTCGTTTTGGGCCGTTAATATCTTGGAATTATGGATAAATCCCGCAGACGAGCGGTGGGGAGACGACATACCATTATTGCTGGCATTACACCCCAGAACGTCTTCACGTCGCCAGGTGCTTTCTTTGTCTTTTGGTTGTTTTGGCATCTATCGTATTTATTCTACATTATTGTGCAAATATACAAGTCAATAGTTGGTCTCTAGAAAAATGAATTGCATGGATGTTTCTAATTTCGTATGTCACGATCGAGCTCTGTGACAGTGCTACGAACGTACAGTCTAACGCTGGTAGTGATTCCCTCAAATATATCGCAGCGGCGATGGCCTCTTTACGTGCCGTGAAACCTCTTAGTGAACTGCCAACGCATCCCAGAAGTAGCTCGACCTCTACTGATCACACGACCAGCGACTAAGGTGAGCCACTTCAGAGCGGGAGTAGCTTCAGTAGTTTCCGGATGCGGTTGCGAGCACAAAGCGTGTCGAGCATGCTGGCCATGGTACAGAGAGGTCCCCTCGGACCTGCTTCCGCACGACTGAAATTATTCGTTTACAGTGTTGCAAAAGTTCACAAGGCTACAAAACCTAAACAAAACACAGGAAATCTGCAGCGCGCAACGCAATTCCTTTCCTCTTCCTCTCTCGCTACCAGTCGTCAAGCGGAGGCAGTACTCCAAACTCTCGCATACCCTGTTTGAATTGCAAGCATGCGAGACGCACCTTGCTACGGAAAAGCACGAGCCCGCGATCCGGCGGTGCGTCATATCAAAGCTGAGCTTGATGTCTGCTGTCGAGCTATGGTTGAATGCGGGTGGGCGTGGGGCGGAAAGAGGCCCATAACATTCTGCGGTGTTTTCGTGATCAAAAGTTACCCAATGATCTAGAAATCCTTCTGTTGTTATGGGGCTGACGGCATATATATAGGACCAACCCGCCACTCACAGATGCGAAGGAGTCAATGTATACCTCCGTCAAGCGGCGGAAAATCGGGGAGCTGTCCATCCTGGACTAGAGCCTGAGAGATGTGAGAATGTGACTCTGGGATACTTACGATCACAGCCTGAGTGGCACGCCTGAATTCAACTTGCAGTCACTAGGCCGAGCGGAGATACATATACAGCTGCTCCTATTTGATGGATTCTCCGATGACGACGAGAGCAAGCTCGTCAAAAGTGTGAAAGCAACTTCGTCGAAAGAACAGGTATCGAGCGGGAAAATTAGAGAAACTGGAACATGGTGCCACCTGTTCTCAAATTGCCCGGATCATCGGCGCGGAGCAATATCCTAACTACGCAAAGTGCTGGATTGGCGAAGGAAATTGGAGTCGACTATGGATATGAAGGTGGGTCACGTTCTCCCGCGAGTGCGTCGTTCTGGGTCCTTGACATCCCAGAATTACGCATCAAATCTGCAGATGTGTGCGACATATCTTATCCCCCGGGTCATCATCTTGCAAGGTGCTTTATCTTGTCTTAGTATTATCGTTATTTATCAAATACACATACAAGTCAGGAGTCAATATGTCTAGAAATGGAATGCGCGGCTCTTTTTGTGAACACCTAAAGCTGATGCGTTATACATGACGGCTCCGAATGGCCACGTCTCGATTCTTCACTGACAATGCTATAACTAGGGGATTTTATCACGGGCTAAATCCGCCTTCAACACACGACTGCTGGCCTTGGGTTCATTACGTCAAAATTAAGTTAGGAGCAAATGTCAGCCCAAACAGAGGTACGGGTGCATGGCAGACTCAACTTATTCCCAACGTCTATAGCCAGCGCCGATAACCCGGAATCACGCTAGACTCATAATTAGCCGCATGGATACACGCAATATCCCACTGTGGCAATGATCGAAGACGGTCAGTGCGGTTTTAAGCGACTCTTCATGAACCTCACCTACTCTTCCCCTAAGTCGTTCTGACCCCCCAACCTCCCCCGCATTCTCCTTGGTATTTGTAGTTAACGCGACACGCCATTGGTGACAATGCAGCGGGCTGGGCTCATTCTTTCTGCGTTGCTTTTTCCACTAAGTCTCGCCTACAACCGCACAACGGAAGCTGGTGAGGCTGCTATAAGCGGTATGCGCATTAGCAATTTCGCACATTGTAATTTTGACCCTTTGACGTATTTGTAGATGGTGCTGTAGAATGCCAGCCGTATTCGTATTCTCTCGTCACGAATAGTCTGTCGTTATTCCCTCCCATTTGGCACCCCGCGTCAATTCTACCGAACGACGATACCGCACGCGACTTGTGGAATTCCATATCCGGCAATATTCCAAATATATCTGTTAAGGTGACGCGTTTCCAGCAAGGTCCCCACGTCTACTAACCTTGTATGCAAGGGCACGATAACTGGGAACTCTCCGGGCACTTTTCGGTCGTATCCACGGAGCGATCCTGACTGCTGGTGGTCATTTAATGGATGTGTAACTCCGAAATATCAGGGTTTGCCCCAAGACGTCTATCAACTCCCGGAGGTTTGGAAATTTATCTGATGTATACATTACCCTTCTTACAGGTTGTCAGCCACGCACGCTGGGATACGGCTTTGATGACGGACCAAATTGCTCACATAACGCGTTTTACGATTTTCTATCCAATAATAACCAGAGAGCCAGTTAGTCAGACAATTCCTACTATGATGTCTTCTTGATGGATTTCTTCCACAGCAATGTTTTATATCGGTAGCAATGTCATGGATTGGCCACTTGAGGCACAGAGAGCCCCTGCTGATGGTAAGTTAATTTCTTCGCCAATTGCTTTGAGAGTAACACAGATGGGATGGTCAGGACATGAAGTGTGTGCCCGTGAGTAAACTCCTTATTTGCTAGCTAGTGGGGTGTTTACGGTCGCAGATACCTGGTCACACCATTACAGTAAGAATCCGGATTACAATCTCACCTATCCTTGTTCAAAGCGTATCGTAGTGACCGCGTTCACTAGTGAGGATGTATTTGCCGAACTATACTATAGTACGTGATGCAAATGTGCTCCGGCTCCGTTTAACCTGATGACGACATAGGTGTAACTCAAATTACCGTCTGAATAACGCTAGCTCATACGATTTTCAGATGCAAGCAATCGAGTTAGTGACTGGTATAACGCCGACGTGCTGGCGGGTAACTAGCTCACGCAATATCTGAGGTCATTCGATTGACCTTACACTAGCCACCATACGGCGACGTTGACGACCGCATTCGGGCCATTGCCAATGGGCTAGGTCTGCGGACGATTATGTGGGGCTATGATTCAGAAGATTGGCGTTTCGGCGTGCGCGGTGTTACCGCCGCTGATATTGATGCCAATTATCAACAATTTATTAATGACGCCGTCTCGAATCGGTTCAATACTGTATGGCGCCTCGTCCTCTTCCATACACTTAATTCCAATTATGATTACAGATAGGCCCCATATTCTTGACACACGAGCTTAGCAACTTCACAATGTTGGAGGCTATAAAGTTTTATCCGCAACTGAAAGCAGCATTCGATGTAGGGTCTTCCTTACACTCGAAGATTTTGTTTGACATTGGGGAATAGCGTATCGAGCCCATTGGAGTTGCCTTGAATTGGACAAATCTATTACCGACCAGAACGCCTATCCCGTCGTCTACGAGTACTACGAAGGGCAAAATAACATCAACGTCAATATTTAATAGGGGTGATGTTACAAGTCTACACCACCGGTCTTCTCTATTAGTTCCTTTATTGAATGTCTTGGGAACCCTTTTGATATTTTAGAGAAGTGATGGCGCGGTAGAACCAATGGTTTTGTTGGATAGGATATCCAGCCTTAGTTAAGGCGCTATAGTGTAGTGGTTATCACTCGGGATTCTGACCGTGCTCAACTTCCCGAAACCCAGGTTCGAACCCTGGTAGCGCCTTTTGTTTTTGGCTATATTCCATTCCCTTGTTTCAACAACTCCTTCATTCCAAAATGCTTTCCGGTATCGCCGCCCTGGAAACAACGCCACCTAGTTATGTCAGTATCCAAGTAAGGCAGGTTTTGAATTTCTGTTAGACAAGCAACTCATTACTACTGTAAGTACTTCCTAATGCGCCGTTGATACTATGATAGCGATGCGCATCTCCGTAGTATGGCCTGCTCAATCAAGTAACCATGTGAAATTTGATGCAGAACGAGTGTTTTCAGGCGATTTCAATAGAAGTTGTTAATACGTACGTTAACGTTCTCGTACAACAGATTTGACACAATGAGATTCGCAGCGGTTTCGTAACGTGCACCATGTGGACCCTATTGGTTGGTTCGGCATCCTCGAGGACGGCATAACTATCGGGGAAAGGAATACCTATTTAGCGTTGGTTCGGCATCCCCGAGGATGGTATAACTATCGGGGAAAGGAACGCCTGTTTGGCTTTCGGTTCCAATGGTCTTTGTTCGCTTTCGGTTCCCACTTTGGCTCTGCCTCGCGAGCTACGTCTATGCCATAACGTCTGTCAAGCACACAACTTTTGATTCCGTTGCGCAGCCTGATAGCAAGTTACGCTATGTTTCTGATTCCGGGGTGTGCGAGACGACCCCTGGCGTCCACCAAAAATCTGGCTACGTCGACATCGCAGACACACAGCATATAGTATGCTCTCGGTCAACACACTTAAACCAGTTTATTGAACACTCTTGACAGTGGTTCTGGTTTTTCGAGGCACGAGAGAACGCGGAGACAGCACCATTCACACTCTGGTACGTGATCTGGATTGTTTGAAGGAGGTTTGTCGGATATATTGTATACAGGTTAAACGGTGGCCCCGGCTGTTCGTCCATGATAGGTCTTTTTCAAGGTGATTTAGATGCATTTAAATTCCATTCACGTATATAACGGACAACAGAAAATGGGCCTTGTCATGTTGCACCCGACGGTCAAACGATATTACATAACCCGTACAGGTCGGGCCCCTTTAGTTTGTGATTTTAAAATATATATCGACTATTGAATTTTCCGTACAGCTGGAACAACCTCAGTAACGGTAAGCAAGATATGAATTAAATAGCGAACACGTCCTTACAAAAATATGACAGTAATCTATATCGATCAGCCCATTGGAACTGGATTTTCTTATGGCACCGACACCGTCAATAGCACATCTGCAGCTGCCCCGCCCGTATGGAAAACTTTTCAAATCCTTTTCGAAAGTCAAGCATTTTCTAAATACCAAAGCCGGGAGTCAGTCCATTGTCTATCTGTACACCAATGAAACATGCTGACTCTCCATCCCACTTACAGATTTATTTTTGCCACTGAGAGTTATGGCGGTCACTACGGGCCCGAGTTTGTCGCGTATTTCGACCACCAGAATGCCCTCATTCGAAGCGGAAAAATAAAGGGTATCGAAATCGTCGTTAGCGCGCTGATGATAAACAAGTGAGCATCGTACGTATTGATGATTAAGCTGAGCTAACTCGAGAAGTGGTTGGTATGATCCATTGATCCAATACAAGTCGTACCTGGACTTTGCGACGAATGCACCTGGATATGGCCAGTTGCAGAACGACTCTGTATTGCAAGAAATGCGGAATGATTGGTACAAGAGGGGTGGTTGCAAAGATCAGTTAAATGCTTGTTATGCTGCCGGCAATTCATCAAAGTCGAACGACATCTGTAACACTGCAGATCAATCCTGCGTTCGTTCTCTCAATTCTCTGAATTTGGACCTGTTTGATTTTTGGAATGGCAGGGTACAATGTCCGAATTGGCAGTCGGAAACCGAGATGTTAATGACCTGCGCCAGAATTCGTCTGCGTTATTCCCTCCTGAGCATTACTTGAATCTTTTGGCAAACGCTACGATCATGGCAAGGATTGGGGCTGAATCAGCTTATGGAGAGTGTTCTGATCCGTCTAATATCCTGTTTGAGAAAACGGGTGATGTAAGTGTTTCAACTGTTGAATGTGTTTTAGTCACGACCGTTTGGTAATTGTTACTAAACTATAGGATGCGAGGTCTCTCCTTCCCCGACTTGCTGCTCTAGTCAATTCGAAGCTCAAGGTTCTGATCTGGGTAAGTTCTAAACTTCGGCTAACGCCCGGCTTTACTCATCAATGTCTAAAGGCCGGCGATGCTGACATCAAGTATGTATTTTAAAAAGGATGCCGATCCATTTCGTCAACTAATACCCTGCAGCTGTAACTGGGTCGGCGGATGGGCTTCAATTCGGGCCATGGATTGGTATGGAAAGGAGAGGCTGAAACATACTCCATTCGCCACCTTGGAAATGGATGGCAAAGCCGTTGGTCAATATGTGAACATTGACAACTTTTCTTTCGCGTACGTAAATTTTGAGATGGTAGCTGACGATTTTACTTAAGATTTGCATTTTAGACGGATATACCAGTCTGGCCATGAAGTGGTTAGTTCATCAAAAGGCATAACGTGCTTTGTTTAACTGATTGACGTTGGCAGCCTGCATTCCAACCTGCAGTCTCGCTTGAGATTTTCCGCCAAGTGATTGCAAAGAAACAACTACATTCCGTTTGACACTCGTGTACTAGTACATACTACCATTATACATTTATGCGTGTTTCACATCGTGCTATCTGGGTGCGTACAAGTGCAAACCATTTGTTGCAGCCTGTTATAAGGGGCTGGCGGTCCATCGCCAACCATTGACCGACCGGATCAAAGCATCGCTACCGTGGAGAGGCTTGTCTTCCCAGTATCTTCCTCTAAATACGTCATTCTGACGGATTGAAACTGCATGGGAGAAATAGGTGGGCTTTGCCGATTGTTTTGGCGCTGCTTCATGCGAATCTGAATTAGATTGAACATGATGCAAGCCACGGAGAAGTTCTAACATGTACAACATCGCATCCAAGCATATCTGAGAGAGAGAGTATCTGAGACGTACCAGAACGTTGAACAGACATTTCAATAGCTGTGGCTCAAGCCCGCTCGATGTCGTGATCAAGTTTAGTACTCTTGTCAGTGTATAAGATATACCAGACTCTGCAAAGACTCGACATAAACTGAATAGAGGGTGCCTTGTGGCGTCGCCATGGCTTTCCCTCATAACATAGTAAATAATGCAAAAACGATAAATGATGGCAACTGAAAGATGTCAGGCAAGGTTGTGCGACCGAATACGATTGCTTACACGTTGTATAAAAGGTGATCGCGATGCTACAAGAGTAAAAAGCTAGCTGAATGTAACGTAGGCGGGGGCATACCCACAACGCATTTGAATTGAATAGGCGAATCACAGTCCAACAGATTTGGAAAACTGAGAAAACGATATTCGCGAACCATAGCATGATGGGTAAGATGGTTATGCGCCACGGCGAGCAGCGAAAAAAGATTTTATGGCAATAGTAGATCTACAATTTATGTTTTCAGTATTAAGAGGTATATGGGTACGGTATTCGTCGTACTAGACCTGCATCGGTGATGAGCATTGTGCCATTTGCTATAGAGTGCTTCGGAGAAATGATGGATGCCTGTTTCTAGTCAAGTATTGGGACACGTACGGACACGTTGATAAACTGATCAACGACCACCTCTTCATTTGCAAGACTGGCAAATGCAATGCGGCATGAAATACCAAGATAGCTCGTCGATAATATGAAGTTGAAGAGGGTTATGGACAGAAGAGGCCAATTAATGGACCTGCTCTTCAAGCGTTTCTGATTCTCGTCATACACGAGAAATCGGAGACAATGGAACAAAGTCGCATCGTATGTCCCATACAGGAATCCCTGCACTGACAGCGTGATGACGGTGGCACTGGTAGAAGAAATCATAAGAAACTGAGCTTTGTAAATTCTACCTGTATGGCTTATGAGCGCTGAGCCATTATCAACATGGCTGTCAAGCTGTGGAGAGCAGTTGTTATATTTGCCATAGTGCCAACTTCTATTTTTGTTCTCCGAGAAGAGTTGACGTAAGCAGTGTGTACTATTGCCGTTATAGTCCGCTGTTCAAATTTCACGGTCCTCCACCTAGAATGCTGGCAGGCAGGGGGTGGGCGCGAGTATGCCTGTCTAGGCATTTCTTACTCTCCTTTACCTATTCTGCAAGACGCGCTGCTTCAGCTGCTGTTGCGTTGAAGCCAGCACCCACACCTGAAGTGGACGATGCACCCCCAGCTCAGCAGCGGCACCCTTTGACGCCACAGGATATTGCACGGTTAATGTTTCAGAGAAATATTGGGATCTCCGCACACATAGATTCTGGCAAGACTACACTAACAGAACGAATACTTTATTACACGGGACGGATTCGGGATATTCATGAGGTTCGTACCTTTTTGGCATATGCGTCCGCGCTGTATGGCCATAGCTTCGAGAGTAACATGTGCAGTACCATTTCCAGTGCTGCTCTCGACTTTCGGCCCATTATAACTGAAGCTAATATCGTCGGGAACAATTAGGTCCGAGGAAAAGATGCCGTTGGCGCAAAGATGGATAGCATGGAGCTGGAACGGGAAAAGGGCATCACAATTCAGAGCGCAGCCACGTTCTGTGATTGGGAAGCGACGCTTCCCGACGGCAAGAAACAGAAATATGCCGTCAATATCATTGATACTCCAGGTTAGGGATTTAGCTGCTATCGTAAGAATAATGCGATAACGGCGACCACAGGACATGTCGATTTCACAATTGAGGTTGAACGGGCTCTGAGAGTTCTTGACGGTGCTGTTCTGGTTCTTTGCGCTGTGGCTGGCGTACAAGTATGTCCAAAATTAGTAACTATATCCAAAAAATCTGATCATATTCCCTAGAGCCAAACAACTACAGTAGATCGCCAAATGAGGCGGTATAACGTTCCCAGGATTTCATTCATTAACAAAATGGATAGGTTCGTTGTATTGCATGGTTCTTTGTCATATATAATTATAGATGTCTAGGCCTGGTGCCAACCCATGGCGAATC